CTAGAAATAGAAAGATAAAGATGATGTTAGAAATTTTCATGAAAACATCATCTACAAATATTCACTTCAAAGAAGTGGTTTATGCAAGGTCACATACTGTAAGGAGAATCGCCCAGATTGGAATCCAAGTTTATCTGACTCTAAGGCCATATTCCTAACCACTTTGCTTTCCTAAACCTAAGAATTTGAATTTCATCTTCATCTGATTACCCAACCAGTCCTTTAGGATGTCAGAAAAAGTGGTAATGATTCCTCAGATGACAGACCTAAAGAACAAGGGTCATAATGGCATTGCTTCCTCCACCATAAATGCTTTCAAAAGCACCTTCATACCAATTCATAGCTTGACAGCACTGGTCCCCAAATCATGGGCTGGACTTGCAGTGCCTAGGGGTGTTCACACAGGTAGTGACACCCTTTTTTCCCTGAATTGAAGGACCACATGGTTTTGCAAGCTCCCTTTACCTGGGGTCTCCTGTGCCGCTGGTCTGGGCTGATGCAGATATCACAAGTACTGTACCAGGCACACACACAATTAAAGTCACCACAGAACCATCCAAACAGACACACAAGACCTTCTGGGAGGTGGATAGGGGAGCAATGGGTGAGGTCTTGTTTAAAGTCCATCCCCATGGGGGGAGGAGGCACTTCACTGTACTCTGAGGAAGGGCCAGCCCCTTCTGCTTCAGCCCCAAGTTACCTGGTCAGACCCAGGTCAGACATCGTCTTGCTCAAAAATGGTCACAACCAATGTTCCCAGTTAGAAATCCTGGGGGCTTTATCTCCTCCCCTACAAAGTTCTCCAAAAGAGAAACAGAAGGAGGGAAAGGCAAAGTGCTCTGCCTTCAGATGGGGCCAGTCATGGTCCTCCAGGTAAGTACTAGTTAGGACTGCCTGGCCATCAGCCTAGGAGGGTCTGGTGCCTGCCGCAGGCTGGAGCAGAGAAGCCAGAGCCAGACAACCTGGAGATGAGTGTGGTTGGGGTGAGTCCTTCTACACCCTCAGAGCACCAGGGGGATGGATTCATCCTGTCTGTAAAACTGCCACAGTGAGCCCCTGGACCCTCATCTCTACACCCACCAGCATCCACCAGGCTGCCATAACCTTGCAGACTGCTCTGGAGACATGAAGACCCTCCCAAATGGCATCACACAGTGAAAAGGGGGTACAAGGCTGGCTCACTGTTTTGTGAGCTGGTCACAAAAAAGAGAATTTGGATATATTTTACTGACATTAGGAAAAGTTCATCATGGCCAAACATGGTATACTGACCAAAAAAAGCGTTTTGTGTTACATTCTTTCCTTTGGCTTTTTATCTTGTCTTTCTTTGTTAAAGGGAATCTTAAACTTTATGTATAAGTCAATCAATCAATCAATCTTTTCTTTTAAAAGTTCACACTTAAAAATAAATGCTGTTATAGAATTCTACTTCCTGAACTTCAATAAACATTCACCAATTCTTTCTTCGAATTATTTTATGGTTTGGATTTGTAATAATAGAAAGCATACAGTATATACCAGTTGTCCTCATGCTTCAGCATGTATTATAATCACTTGGAGGAACTTGTGAACTGTTATTTCTACAGTCCACCTTTAGTCAGTGAGTAGGGCCCAGAAATCAGTATTTTAAAGATGTTCCCCAGGCAAGTCTGATGCAGATGATTATGCAAGACTTTGATAAAACATTAGGAGTGCAATTCATTCCATTGTTTCTTTATGGAATTGCTTGTCATAATACTAGAGAAAGAAAAATGATTTGTGTACGAGTAAGATTATTGAGTCAATAGCAGAATTTGGACAAACCTACTATTTCCCTGTTAATAATCAATCAAGAAATCAATTAAAGCCCTGGTTGGAACATCACCGCATGCACCAAAGGGTCGTAGGTTCGATTCCCAGTAAGGGCACATACCCAGGTTGAAGGTTTGACTCATGGTCTGGGCACGTTCGAGAGGCAGCTGCAACTGATCAGTTTCTCTCTCCTCTCTCTCCTCTCTCTCTCTCTCTCTCTCTCTCTCTCTCTCTCTCTCTCTTCTTTTCTCTCTAAAGTCTATTGACTTTAAAAATAAAAAACAAACATATCTTGCTTGGCCAGCGTGGTTCAGTGGTTGAGCGTTGACCTATGAACCAGGAGGTCACAATTCAATTCCTGGTAGGGGCACATGACCAGGCTACAGGTTTGATCCTGTGTGGGGCATGCAGGAGGCAGCCCATCAGTGATTCTCTTTCATCATTGATGTTTCTCTCTCTCCCTCCCTCGTTCTTCCTCTCTGAAATCAATAAAAACATATATTTTTTAAAAAAACAACATATCTTCAGATTAGTATTTCTAGTTTCTTGGGATATTCCTAGAAGGGGAATTACTGGGTCAAATGGGAGTTCCATTTTTAGTTTTTTGAGGAAACTCCATACTGTTATCCACTGGCTGCACCCCAGTCTGCATTCCCACCAGCAGTGCATGAGGGTTCCTTTTTCTCTGCATCCTCGCCAGTACTTGTCCTTTGTTGATTTGTTGATGATAGCCATTCTGACAGGTGTGAGATGGTACCGCATTGTCATTTTGATTTGCATCTCTCCCATGATTAGTGACTTTGAGCATGTTTTCATATGTCTCTTGGTCTTCCTTATGTCCTCTTTCAAAAAGTATCTATTTAGGTGCATTGCCCATTTTTTGATTGGGTTGTTTATCTTCCATTTGTTAAGTTGTATGAGTTCCCTGTAAATGTTGGAGATTAAACCCTTATCGGTGATAACATTGGCAAATATGTTCTCCCATGCAGTGGGCTTTCTTGTTGTTTTGTTGATGGTTTCCTTTGCTGTGCAAAAGCTATTTATTTTTATGTAGTCCCATTTGTTTATTTTCTCTTTAGTTTCCAATG